ACCTACCAGAATTAGTCAGAATCCCCACCTTCCCTTTATTCTCTGAATTCTGTTCATCTAGTTAAATTGTTCTGCAATTCCTTCACTTTGTTATATTAATAATAATAAGCGTTATTCCAATGTCTTCTCTCATGAGTCTTCTTTGTGGGTGTGGGATATGAGGAGAATGTTTTGATGGTGATGGTGAGGAATCCCCAGAGGTTCCAGAATCATGTGGGATAAGGGATTGATAGTTTAGCCACCCTGAGAGTTATAGCTCTGTGCCGCTTGTGATCTCCTGGCAACTCTTTTCACCCTTAACCAACTACAGCTCCCATCATTCTCTGGTGGAAGCCATTACTCTTTAAAGCGCCATGATATCACTGTGGGAATTGTGGTTCTGTGATGGGTGTCCTGACAACTCTCAGCAACCTTAGTGAACTACAGTTCCCATGATTCCTTGGGGGAAGCCATGGCTGTTTAAAGTGATATGGTTGGCTGGCATCCATCTGTCTTGGGAGACAGCGGAGGAATGTGCTTTTGGGGATGAAATCAAACCATTGGAGAGTTACAACACATGCAGCAGTGTAGAGACTGATGTGGGAGAGACATGTTTTGTTGAAGGTGAGGCAGATGAAGGTGTCTGATTGTGCCGCTGCAGATGCACCATGGCGTTTCTCTCGACGTTCCTCCCATTGATCATTCCTCTTCTGGTCACTGCTGTGGGTCCAAATTCTGACAGTCTGTCTCCAGGTTCTGTGGCCATACCATATTAAAGATATACAGTACAGCGGTATCTCGGGTTAAGTACTTAATTCTTTCTGGAGGTCCGTTCTTAACCTGAAACTGTTCTTAACCTGAAGCACCACTTTAGCTAATGGGGCCAGAGCACGATTTCTGTTCTCATCCTGAAGCAAAGTTCTTAACCCGAGGTACTATTTCTGGGTTAGCAGACTCAGTAACCTGAAGCGTATGTAACCCGAGGTACCATTGTAGTGTCGATGGGGCTTGACTTGGTCTTGTCTACACCAGCTTCTTCCAACCTAGTGACTTTCAGATGTTGTCAGACTCCAATTCCCAGCATCCTTTTGTATGACCAATATTGGAAGGAGATGATGGAATAATAATAATAAAAATAAAATAAATTTTATTTATATCCCGCCCTCCCCAGCCGAAGCCAGGCTCAGGGCGGCTAACAACAATAAACAGTACAAAAGTACAGCACAAACAACACACTAAAATCATTCATTATAAAATTAATGAATTCAAGCCACTGGCAACCACTGGGCCAGAGCTCTGCGAAGATTGCCGAGGGAGGGAGTCAGGCTGTGCCCTGGCCAAAGGCCTGGTGGAACAGCTCTGTCTTGCAGGCCCTGCGGAAAGATGTCAAGCCCCGCAGGGCCCTGGTCTCTTGTGACAGAGTGTTCCACCAGATCGGAGCCACGGCCAAAAGAGCCCTGGCTCTAGTTGAGGCCAGCATAACTTCTCTGTGGCCTGGGACCTTCAAGATGTTTTTATTTGAAGACTGTAAGTTTCTCTGTGGGGCATACCAGGAGAGGCGGTCCCGTGGGTATGAGGGTCCTAGGCCATATAAGGCTTTAAAGGTTAAAACCAGCACCTTAAACCTGATCCTGTACTCCACCGGGAGCCAGTGCAGCTGGTATAGCACCAGGTGAATGTGATCTCGCAGCGAAGACCCCGTAAGGAGTCTCGCTGCAGCATTCTGCACCCGCTGGAGTTTCTGGGTCAGTCTCAAGGGCAGCCCCACATAGAGCGAGTTACAATAATCCAGTCTGGAGGTGACCGTCGCGTGGATCACAGTGGCTAGGTCAGGGCGAGAGAAGTAAGGAGCCAACTGCTTAGCTTGGCGGAGATGGAAAAATGTCGCTAATTGCGCCCCCGCAAGAGATGGGAGTTGACCCCCAATCCCATATCGTCCCGTCCCAGCCACAGGACCTCTGTCTTCGAAGGATTTAACTTCAACCGGCTCCCACGTAACCATCCAGCCACAGCTTCCAAACATCTGGTCAGTGTGTCTGGGGCTGAGTCAGGATGGCCATCCATCAACAGATAGAGTTGGGTGTCATCAGCATACTGATGGCAACCCAGCCCAAAACTCCGGACAAGCTGGGCGAGGGGGCGCATAAAGATGTTGAAAAGCATCGGGGAGAGTATCGCACCCTGAGGTACTCCACACACCAAGGAGTGGGGCGATGACAATTCCCCCCCAAGCGCCACCCTCTGTCCCCAACCAGAGAGAAACGAGCGCAGCCATTGAAGGACTCTGCCCTGGATCCCCACGTCGGCAAGGTGGTGGTCCAGAAGTTTGTGATTGACCATGTCAAAAGCTGCTGACAGATCTAGAAGAATCAGCAGCCCCGACCCACCTCGATCCAGCTGTCTACGAAGATCATCTGTTAGGGCAACCAGAACCGTCTCGGTCCCATGACCAGCGCGGAAGCTGGACTGGAATAGATCCAGAGCCAATGTTACATCCAGAAACCCACCAAGCTGTTCAGCAACCACTCTCTCAATCACCTTACCCAGGAACAGAAGATTCGAAACCGGGCAGTAATTGGATAGATTTAAAGGATCTAATGATGTTTTCTTTAAGAGCGGGCACACCACTGCCTCCTTCAGTTCCCCTGGGAATATCCCCGTGCCAAGGGACAAATTGATGATATCCCCCAGGAGGGCCCACACCTCGTCTGGACACGCTCTAATCAGCCAAGACGGGCATGGGTCGAGAGGACAGGTGGTGGGCTTTCCAGCTCGGAGGAGTCTGTCCACATCGGCTGGGGATATCTGGTTGAAGTGGTCCAATACTGGACCCGAGGACAGTCAAGGGGCCTCCAGTTCCTTTATTGTATCCAAATTGGCAGGGAGGTCATGGCGGAGCAACAAGACCTTCTCCGCAAAAAAGCTCGCAAATGCCTCACAGCTGTGTGTCAGATTGTTATTTAAATTTGGCTGTCCCTCAAGGGACGTTAAAGACCTGATTATACTAAATAATTGCGCCGGGCAAGAGCTAGCGGATGCAATGGAGGCCGAGAAGTAAGACTTCTTGGCAGCCTTCACCGCCATCTCGTAGGTTTTCATAAAAGCCCTATAAGATGTTCTTGAGGCTCTGTCACAGGCACCCCGCCATACTCGCTCTAGCCGTCTGAGGTCCCGCTTCATTTTCCGGAGCTCCTCGGTAAACCAGGGAGTCCGGTTTCTGTGGGGTCGCAGAGGGCGCTTAGGTGCGATCTCATCGATGGCTGCCAGGAGCTGGATATTCCAGCCCTCAACAAGCTCAGTCAATGAGTCGCCAGGGGGAGCAAGGTCCTGCAAGGCTTGGCGGAATCTATCAGGGTCCATCAGCCTCTGCGGGTGAGCCCAAATCGGCTCGCCACCTAAGCAGGGTGGGGGTGGAAAGTCAATCCTGGCTTTCAGAGCGTAGTGATCAGACCATGGCACCTTCATCGAAGGAGACATGATCACATCTATACCTACGCCAAATATCAAATCCAGCGTGTGGCCTGCTCGATAATATAATAATAATTTATTATTTATACCCCACCCATCTGACTGCGTTTCCCCAGCCACTCTGGGCGGCTTCCAACAAAAGATTAAAAATGCATTAAAACATCAGTCAAAACTTCCCTAAACAGGGCTGCCTTCAGATGTCTTCTAAATGTCAGATAGTTATTTATTTCTTTGACATCTGATCTGAGGATGTTCCACAGGGCAGGCACCACTACCAAGAAGACCCTCTTCTGCCTGGTTCCCTGTAACTAAGCTTGTCGCATTGAAGGAACCACCAGAAGGCTCTCAGAGCTGGACCTCAGTGTCCAGGCTGGATGATGGGGATGGAGACACTCCTTCAGGTATACTGGGCCGAGGCCCTTAAGGGCTTTAAAGGTCAGCACCATCACTTTGACTCTTGCCCGGAAACATACTGGGAGCCAATGTAGGTCTTTCAAGACTGGTGTTATGTGGTCTCGGCGGCCGCTCCCAGTCACCAGTCTAGTTGCAGCATTCTGGATTAGAAGACCCCAAGCTGGAGAAAGCTGGTCTACACTGACTTGGGGCAGCTCTGCAGGGTTTCAGAATTTGGGGGTTGAAACTAGGACAGATGTGTATGCAATACATCTGCTCTGCCACTGAGATGATGATGATGATTTGAATTTATATACAGCCCTATACCCTCCACTGCTCCAGAAGGTAGGTTCTAGACCAATAGCTTCAAGTTGCAAGAAAGAAGATTCCAACTAAACATCAAGAAGAACTTTCTGACAGTAAGAGCTAGTCATTAATATATAACACCCAATACCCAGGGGTCTCAGGGCGGTTCACAGAATAAAATCAAGATATAAAACCACAAAAATACATAATAAAAATACAAACAACAACCCAATACCCCCTCCCCACAGAAAACACATTTTAAAAGGACATCATATGTAAATCAGATCCACCAAAGGCCTGGTTAAAAAGGAACGTTTTTGCCTGGTGCCTAAAGCGGGCGCCAGGCGAACTTCCCTGGGGAGAGCATTCCACAGACGGGGAGCCACTGCAGAGAAGGCCCATTCTCATGTTGCCCCCCTCCGGACTTCTCAAGGAGGAGGCACACGAAGGAGGGCCTTGGAAGATGACCTCAGGGTCCAGGTAGGTTCATATGGAAAGAGGTGGTCTTTAAGGTATGCGGTCCTGAGCCATTTAAGGCTTTATCGGTCAAAACCAGCACTTTCAATTGGGCCTGTAAACTAACTGGTAGCCAGTGCAGTCGGACCAGGATTGGTGTAATATGCTCAGACCATCTTGCTCCGGTGAGCAACCTGACCGCTGAATTCTGGACCAAGTGAAGTTTCCGAACTATCTTCAGAGGCAGCTTCCATTGCATCTGCTAGCTCTCACCCAGCACAACTTTTTAGGGCCAACTAAAAAGTTGCGCTGGGTGAGAGCTAGCAGATGCAATGGAAGCTGAGAAGTGAAACTTCTTTGCAGCTTTCACTGCCATCTCATAGGCTTTCATAAGTGTCCTATAAGATGTTCTTGAGGCTCTGTCTCGAGCACGCCGCCATACTCACTCTGAGGTCCTGCTTCATTTTCTGGAGCTCCTTGGTAAACCAGGGGGGCTGGTTTCGGTGGGGTCGCAGGGGGCGCTTAGGTACAATCTCATTGATGGCTGCCAGGAGCTGGTTGTTCCAGTTCTTGACAAGCTCATCTAGTGAGCTGCCAGGGGGAGCAGGGTCCCACAAGGCCTGACAAAATCCATCAGGGTCCATCAGCCTTCGTGGGCAAGTCCAAATAGGCTCGCCTCCCAAGGGGGGGGGCAGGTGCGGAAGTCAATCCTGGCATTCAGAGTGTAGTGATCAGACTATGGCACTTCCACAAGGGAGGACATGATCACATCTATACCCGCACCAAAAATCAAATCCAGCGTTTGGCCTGCTTGGTGTGTGGGACCCAAAACAAATTGGGAGAGCCCTAATCATGCCATGGAAGACACTAGGTCCAGAGCCTGTAAGGAGGGGGTGGCATCAGCATGGACATTGAAGTCCCCCAAAACCAGTAGGTTGGGGAACTCCAAGGCCCAGCCTGCCACCACATCCAACAGGCCTGACAGGGTGGCTGCTGGTGCGCTAGGTGGTCGGTACACCAGCCAGACAGCCAAGCTCTCCTTGGTGCCCCACACTAGGCCAACACATTCAATGCCGGAGATTGATGGTGATGGCAGAGCCCTGAAAGAGCAATCCTCCCGGATTAACAACACTACCCCTCCCCCCCAACCCACAGTCCGCGATTGGTGGAGGACGGGGAAACCTGGTGGTGTCATCTCATGCAAGGTGGCTACTATGCCTTTGTGCACCCAGGTCTCTGTCACGCAAGCCAGGTCAACCCCCTGCGAGATAAAGGAGTCTTGCAAGGTGGCGGTTTTATTGCCTATTGACCTGGCATTGCACAGCACCAATGACGGAGGTGAGTAATCCCTGCTTACCCTACCCACGTCCCTTGGGATGGGGTGTAGATTGGAAGGGGTTTGAGCATCACCACATCTCAAAACCCTTTGCCGATAATATCTACCCCCACTGCCGTCCCTCCCTTGCCCTTCAACAGTGGCAATCCCAGACCCCATGCTCCCCAGTAAAGGAATGATATCCCCTCACTAACATAACATCCCTGAGCCAAGTCTCCCAAATCGAAAAGGTATGATATTGAGATGAAAAATCAGCAGCACAAACATCCCTGGTAGATAAAACCCATCCACTCACACCCCAGGTAGCGAGGGGAGTCCCACACTGGTCTGCTAGCTGTCAATCCCTCTCTCCCTCATAAGGTAGCCGGGGGGGGTATTAACTCTTTTTGTGCCTTTGGGAGTATTAAAGAGGCATGTGCTGTAAAATGGGGGTCACTAGCCAGCAGAGAGCCAGCTTCATGTTCAGAGACTCCGTCCATCCTATCTCGCCAGAGATGCAATAAAGTCAGTCATTCTTGTAAGTTTTAGGAGTATTAGGCAAAGGCCTGGGTATAGCCTAGGTGCTTGGTTTCAGCAATCTATCCATGGCATGAAGTTCTTTAGAAGTTGTTGCCATGAGAGTGTCAGGGTCACTGGGTTCATCTTCTCCATCACTATCACTTGGGAAAAGATCAGGAAATTGCACATGTGTCTTTCTTTGAGATGAAGGGCTATTGAGCATTAATCACCTCCCTGGCCCAGCCAGCTGTTCCCTCCCTGTTGGTTTTTATCAGCCAAGAGGGGCAAGGGTCTAGAGCACTAGTGGTCACCCTAACTGATCCAAGCACCTTGTCCACATACTCGAGCCTTACCAACTGAAACTCATCTAATACAGAAGGACTAGACTGTGCTTTCGATACCCCATGAGATTCATCTGCTGTAACAGCAGAGTCAAGGTCTTGGTGGATACAAGAAACTTTACCCTCAAAACACTTTGCAAACAAGGCACAGCAAGCTACCATTGCTTCTATCACCTCCTTTGGGCCAGCCTGTAAAAGACCTCGTACAACCTGGAAAAGTTCTGCCGGACAATGTAATGAGGATGCAATGGAGGCAGCAAAGTATGCCTTCTTTGCTGCCTTCACTGCCACTAGGTAGGCTCAATAATGAGCCCTTACCAGTGTTCAGTTGCATTCATTTGGATCTTTCCTCCACTTGCATTCAAGCGGTCTCCCAGCGTGAATCCTCGCCCTAAGCTCTGGAGTATACCAGGGGGGCAATCGGGCTCCACAAAGTGGGAGACGTGGCTCAGGGGTGATCATGTCAATAGCCCGAGCCAGAGGTTGGCTAGGGCTTCAACGGAAGCACCAGTCATATTAGCCAGAACCACCCCCCCCCAAGCTTATTGGAATCTCACTGGATCCATCAGCCTCTGAGGGTGGACCTTCCTAATAGGTCCCCCACCTCTGTGGAGGAGGAAAGGTGCTGACATCCTAAATCTCAACAGGAAGTGATCTGGCCATGACAAGGGACTGATGTCAATGTCCCCCACCTTCAAATCACCCTCTTCCTGCCCAGTTGATAAAACAAGATCCAGAGCGTGGCATGTCATGTGTGTTGGGCTGGTGACATGTTATTACAGCCCCATGGTTGCCATGGCAGCCATGAAGTCCTGAGCCACCCCAGAGCCAACTGCCTTGGCATGGATGTTGAAGTCTCCTAGAACCAGCAGCCTGGGAGTCCTCAACACCGCCTCCGAGACCAGCTCTGTCAGCTCAGGAAGGGAGACTGTCGGGCAGCGAGGTGGGCGGTAAACCAGGAGAATCCCTAATCTGTCCTGATTGCCCAATGCCAGGAACACACACTCTAGATCCACCCCCCCACCGGACAGGGAGCCTGGAAATAGAGAGAGACTCTCTATAGACCACAGCAACTCCGCCTCCCCGACCCTTGAGTCTATCCTGATGCTGCACTGCATACCCAGGTGGGCACAGATGGGCGATAACTCCACCCTGTTCACCCACCCAGGTTTCAGTGATACATGCCAGATCAGCCTCTTCATCCATAGTCAGATCGTGGATGAGGGAGATTTTATTCTGGGCCGACCTGGCATTCAACAGCAGCAGTTGCAGACATGAGGGCTGGCTGATACAACCACAATTCCCCAGGTTGGAAGAGCCTTGGCTGTGTGTCCCTTACCCAGCCTACCCCTCCTCCCACGCTGTACCTTCCCCTACCCAGAACCACAGTAATTGGCCTCCCCCTACTCTCCCCCACTCCTCTCCTCCCAGGCACATCCCACCAAGTGCCCTTACGCAGCCCAGTTAAAAAACATTGCAACACTTAAAAAACAATTTAAAAGAATATAAAAACAATTTAAAAGTGGAAGCCTTCTTTGCTGGGCAGCAGCAGTCCTTATGAAGCCTGTCAGGCCCTGCTATGGGCCAGGTAGATTGAGGCAGGAACAGGGCCCTCAGGCTTTCAGCAGGATCTTCACCTGATGTGCTCTTTTGTGCTGTTGTTAACTGCAGTGGCACAGAGACAGCTTTGCTCTGTGAATATTTGGTTCGGTTCTGTTTAAAACACAGCAGCATGTGTAGAAAGAGGCTCGTTGGAGATCTTTCCCTCCAGAGCTGTTCTCTCCAACTCATGAGCCTTATATCTGCTCACAGTGTCGTAAAGAAAATGCCAGCAGACAGGGGTGGGAGAAGAGGAATGAACAAGGGGCATGAGGAAACACCATAAAACCTGGAAACACACAGGAAAGCATTCTTTTAGGAAGATAAAAACAAAAAAATACATGCCAAACCGCTCCAGTTAAATCCCAACTAAGGCGACGGCAGCAGATATTTCATCCGCCATATCAAAACATTCTCAACACCAGCAACCAACACAACAGTAAATTCTAGCCAGCTATTAATGTCAGCCCATTTATAATTTTTTGGGGCGTGCAAAATCTACAAAAGGCAGGTGACAAGGTGCTATTTCACCCTTGCTATCGAACTGAATAAAAATGACTCAGTTCTCCCGTTGGAAAGAGCTTTCTTGGGGCGTGGAGGACAGACGATAGGTCACAAAAGTAAAATGTAACAGTTGGAGAAACTACCATTCTTACTAGCGCAACTTGAAATAATGGAGCTCGACTTCCATGCCGTCTGCGAGATGCTATGACCTTGGGCCAATGGGAAAGGAAGTCATGAGATGCTGAAAGGCTTATTTCTGAAGCAAGGAAGGAACTGAAGGTGATGTTGGCCCAGTAATAGTCATACTCTTCCCCCACCCCATGTTCCATGCGTGCATTCAGACATGGGAATAATGTGTTAGTTTTCCTAACTATAATGTCAGCACTTCTGTCCCATTTTCTAACATTCCTTTCCCACTGCAGTACCTGTTGGATTATGGAACTGTGGCTCTTTGACCAATATACAGTGGTACCTCAGGTTACATACGCTTCAGGTTACAGACTCCGTTAACCCAGAAATAGTGCTTCAGGTTAAGAACTTTTCTTCAGGATGAGAACAGAAATTGTGCTCCGGCGGTGTGGGGGCAGCAGGAGGCCCCATTAGCTAAAGTGGTGCTTCAGGTTAAGAACAGACCTCCAGAACGAATTAAGTACTTAAACCGAGGTACCACTGTACCACTGTGTCATGCTAAATTTCATTCACACCTCTGGGCATGGTGTGGCACAACAGTGAATGTCACTGGACAAACTTGCACCCAAATGCTGATGAATTTTCATTATGATAGATAGATAGATCACACACCAACACGTGAAGGGCACGTGAAGAACTGAATTTAAGATTGTAAAAATGGGAAACTGAGAGAAACTTTCATGGGCAGATTCACCCATACCAGCTGCACATAGAGGTCATTGCAACTTTGAGGTTACCAATGACAGTGGTGGCCAGTGGCTATCTCAATCCATGAACAGTCATAACTATTTTACCAGCTGAAGTTGGGACAAGGCATTCCTAACCACTGATGACATCTCTAGGTACATTGCTGGATTTAGGAGTAACCCCTGACTATGTACCTGCTCAGAGAAAATGTGACTCCATTCAGGCCAGGCAAATTATTCACTTATCAGAGCTGGGAACCACTTGCCCATAGTGCTTCTGTCTTGCCAGGATTCAGAGTCAGTTTATTAACTCCCGATCCAGGCCACAATTACATCCAGACACCAACTTACACAGCCATTCCTATTTTAGGAGTTACAGAGAAATAGAAATGTGTATCATCACTGTGTACCTGTCGAGGACACCAAATCTCCTTATGGACGCTGCCAACAGCTTCATGTTGTTGTTTAGTCATTTAGTCGTGTCCGACTCTTTGTGACCTCCTGGACCAGAGCACACCAGGCACTCCTGTCTTCCACTGCCTCCCACAGTTTTGTCAAACTCATGTTCGTAGCTTCGAGAACACTGTCCAACCATCTCGTCCTCTGTTATCCCCTTCTCCTTGTGCCCTCCATCTTTCCCAACATCAGGGTCTTTTCCAGGGAGTCTTCTATTCTCAGGAGGTGGCCAAAGTATTGAAGCCTCAGCTTCAGGACCTGTTCTTCCAGTGAGCACTCAGAGCTGATTTCCTTCAGAATGGATAGGTTTGATCTTCTTGCAGTCCATGGGACTCTCAAGAGTCTCCTTCAGACCATAATTCAAAAGCACCAATTCTTCGGTGATCAGCCTTCTTCATGGTCCAGCTCTCACTTCCATACATCACTACTGGGAAAACCATAGCTTTTACTATACGGACCTTTGTTGGCAAGGTGATGTCTCTGCTTTTTAAGATGCTGTCTAGGTTTGTCATTGGTTTGTCATTGCTTTTCTCCCAAGCTGTCTAGGTTTGTCATTGTTAAATAGCATTTGAGGTGAGGTGGTGCCCTGTAGCACCCCATTGTTGAAGAGCGAGTCCAAGAGGCACTCATCTCATGATACCTTCCATCAATAGTCATCTTCAAATATCTGAAGGGCTGTCACATGGAACATGAAGCAGGCTTGTTGCTGCTGCTCCAGAGGGTAGGGCCTGAACTTCAAGTTTCAAGTTACAAGAAAAGAGATTCCAAGTAAACACCAGGAAGAAGTTTCTGACAGTAAGAGCTGGTCATGACCAATAAAACCCAACACAGCATAGCTCTAAGCTATCTAAAGAACCACATTCCCTCATATGAATCTGCCCACTTCTGATATCTTGGGAGGGAAGCACTTCTCTGCCCCACCACCCTCACAGGGACATTTGGTGGGGATGTAAAAGAGGGCCTCCTTGGTGGCTGATCCCGAACTCTGGTCCTTCCTCCCTGGAGAAGCTAGACTGGTTCCCTGTTTACTGTCCTTCAACAGGCTGCATAATATACAGTGGAACCTCGGTTGTCAAACGTAATCCATTCCGGAAGACGGTTCAACTTCTGAAACATTCGACAACCGAGGTGCAATGGCCGCTTGGCAAATTCCTTTTAAGAAATGGAGAAACACGCCTTGGAAGCCGTTCAACTTCTGAGGCTTGTTCGAAAATGGTTGTCGGCGTTCGGCTTCCAAATTGTTCTGCTTCCAAAGCATTTGACAACCGAGGTTCCACTGTATTCTTCTTCTTACAACACAGGTCTGAACCAATATTTGAATGAACCAATATTTGAACCAAATAATCTGTTTCCTCCAAGAATGCCTGCAATTGCATCACCATAACCCTTTCTAGTACCTTTCTCCAAAAGGGGGCATTTGTGGCTAGGCAGTAGTTGTTAAACACCATCAAGTATTTAGGTGGTGTGGAGACTCAGAGGCGAGCCACCTGGCTCATCTATAAATCCCCAGTTTCCCTAATTCATTTTGTTTCTGCTGTATTTGGAAATGAGGAATGAACTAACCTGGGCACTATCCACCATGCATGGTTCACAGGGGACTTCTTGAAGTTAATACAGTTTGACTACTTATTTTACCCGCTGTGAGCTGGTGGCCTTTTACAAGCAGGGAAATTAATTTTGAACCCACATAGCTCAGCTGTAACTTCTGCTCAGGAGCAACTGGACTTCTGTCTAAAAAAGATTTGTGCAGAAGAAACTGCCATCGGTGCTTACACAAGACATTCTTCCATCATAGCTCAGTGGTAGAGCATCTGCCTTGAGAGCAGGAGGTCCCAGGTTCAAACCCCAGCATCTCCAGGTAGGACTGGGAGAGACTCCTGTCTGTCTGGAATCCTGGAGAGCTGCTGCCAATCAGGGTAGACAATACTGAACTATATGGACCAATTCTCCGACTCAATATAAGGCACCCTCCTATGTTCCCTTGCTGCTCCACCTGCTCCACCTGCACAAGGGTGTGCCAATGCCCTTCAGGGCCTCCCACCCAACAATGCCTTACTCTGACAGAGGGCATTAAGGAACAGCACCGTGGAAGCAGAGAAGACAATCTGTAATGCCACCTCACCCACCCTGAATGCCTTGTTCTGATCAAGGGTCCTAGGGACTGTACAATGCCTGAGATCAGGGGCGGAGGAAGAGGGGGGCAGTGGGGGCAGCTCGCCTTGGGTGCCTTTGCTGAGGGGGGTGACATTGAGCAGTCGCGGGTGGGTGATGTGCTGAATGTCCGCCATCGGTGACGCACTTCGCCCCTGTGAGTAGCTCGCTTCGCCCCCAGCTGCAGGGTGCACGTGCTGATCCATGCCCCTAAGTGGCTATCCCAGGGCTCAGCAAACTTTTTCAGCAGGGGGCTGGTCCACTGTCCCTCAGACCTTGGGGAGGGGGCCGGACTATATTTTTTTTTGGGGGGGGGAGAACGAATTCCTATGGCCCACAAATAGCCCAGAGATGCATTTTAAATAAAAGCACACTTTCTACTCATGTAAAAACACCAGGCAGGCCCCACAAATAACCCAGAGATGCATTTGAAATTATAGGGCACATTCTACTCATGTAAAAACACACTGATTCCCAGACCATCCGCGGGCTGGATTTAGAAGGCGATTGGGCCAGATCTGGCCCCGAGCCTTAGTTTGCCAACCCATGGGCTATCCCATGTCTGGGAGGGCACCCTCCACGCCCTGCCCCCCTCAAGAGCATGATCGCCCTGGGCAGCACGGGCATATGCTCTGCCTCTGCTTGGGATAGCTCAGGGTTTGGTGTTTGAGCCCCACATTAGATGACATATTCCTGCCTTGCAAGGGGGTTGGACTAGATGACCACCAGGATCCCTTCTAACTCTACAATCATATCTGACCTTCTGTGGTGAGGCACTGTGGGTGGGGAAGTCTTGAAGACCAGCTGTGCTGCTGTCACTTTGCCACTGTGCCAGCAGATATCATTTGAAGTTTAAGTGCAGTAAACCGATGCACTTTAAAGAACATTTACTAAGCCAAGGTGGTGGCAGTACAGGGAAACTCTGAGGCTACCACTCCCAGAATGCCTCACTCTGACAAACGGCCATAGCTTTGCATGCAGAATGTATCAGGTTGAATCCCAACCATCTCTAAGTAGAGAGCTCTTGTCGGTACCCCTGGAGAGAAGCTGCCATTCTGGTGATGGCAATGATTTATTACCTGCTCATCACCCGAGGGTCCCAGGGTGGGTTACAACATCAAAGCACAATATTAAAAACAATTTAAAACAACTAACAATCACAGAAAGGAGGGGCATGCTAAATATATACATCTCAAGTGCCAAAAGCCAGGGTGAAGTGCTAGATACTCTATGGTCTGTTGTGGTAAAAGGTGGCTTTCTGTGCTCCTTGAGACATTCTGGGATGGGTGCCTTGGTAGATCCCTGCAGGAGGGCCCAATCAGTGATCAGGTGAAGGTGCTCAAATCTGCCATGCTTCTCCTTCAGCTCCTTGAAGGAAAGGTCTCCAGTTGGTTAGTGGATGCTGGTGTGATAGGATATTCTGCTGAATGGTTTGGCGTTGTCCATCTGAGAAGGTCATCTCCTTTGTCCCTTTCCCCACTGAACTAGATACAGTGGTGCCTCGCAAGACGAAATTAATTCGTTCCGCGAGTTTTTTAGTCTAGCGAATTTTTCGTCTTGCGAAGCACAAAATCCCATAGGAATGCATTGAAATTCAATTAATGCGTTCCTATGGTCAAAAAAAGTCCAAACAAAGCCAAATTTGGTACAACAAGAGTTTATTAAGTGCTCTTTAAAGTCACACATACTGTAAAGAGCATTTCAAAAATTGAAGGAACAATAAATTAAGTTTCTAAACATGACAGAAAAACATTTAAAAATCAACAAAGTGTACAGTACATTTTCTAAGACTCTGGGGGACAACTCGAAGAAGGTTCCTCTTCCACTCTTTGCTTCTTGCTGAAGAACCCCCTCCTCAACTGTTCCCCCAGCCACCCACCACACAGAAATTCAAATCCAGAATTTTTTTAAAAAAACAGCAGAGTGGCCCAATGGTCACAGAAAATCATAAAAATGCAGAAAAAACCACACAAGCTTCCAGATTCTTGCAAACCCCTCCTCAACTGTTCCCCCAGCCACCCACCACACAGAAATTCAAATCCAGAATTTTTTAAAAAAACAGCAGAGTGGCCCAATGGTCACAGAAAATCATAAAAATGCAGAAAAAAACACACAAGCTTCCAGATTCTTGCAAACCCGTCCCCAACACCAAGTCCTTGAATTCCAAACACCCCAACCCAAAATCCAAACCCCCTCCAAAAAAGTGGTAAAAGTTTAAAAGAAGTTTTGGAAACGCTTCAAAAATCACCAAAGTCTTCAAAAACCTCAAAAAGGCTACCACATCGCGTTCTATGAGTTGCTCCTCGAAGTCAAGTCGCAACTGTATTAACGGTGTTAAGAAAAAGGAAACAAACTTGCAAGACGTTTTCATTTTTCGTCTTGCGAAGCAAGCCCATAGGGAAATTCATCTTGCGATGCAGCTCAAAAAACAGAAAACCCTTTCGTCTAGCGAGTTTTTCGTCTTGCGAGGCATTCGTCTTGCGGGGCACCACTGTAGGAACATATTTGCATAGCTAGTGCTGATTACCACAGATAAAATAAATGAAAAGGGGGTGTGCGTGTGTTGCGGGGTGTGTGTGTAGAGGATAAAGATTGAGCTTGATGGCCAAATTTATCTTTGCTTTCAGGAGTAAGATGCTGAACTGCTCAGTGCATCGGATGAAATTATCAGCCATCTGTGAGCTGAGCATCAAAGATACAATTTAAAACAAAACAAAACACCATGCATCCCTTTGAAATAATTTATAACAATCCTGCGCGCGTGCATCTGAAACCTTCCTCACACCTCAGCACTCTTTGGAGTGATCTCCTCATTTGCATCAAGCATGCTGAGGGGGGAAATAATAATAATTATAACTGGGGAGATAGAGGAGAAGCGGGAGAATATTTAGGCACACCAGCGGATTAAGGTACCACTGTGACAGGAATGCCATCAGAGAGCTAGGGATCCAGATATTTTCGTAGTCACTCCACTGTAAGCAGTTTCAGAGCCCTCTGGGAGAATCCGTTATGCAAACAAGGCAAGGCAGATCAGTTGTGGTGGTAGTGGCAGCATAGGGGGAAGATAATTTTACTCTCGCTGGGAAACAGGACCGGCACACCAGCTCACACCCAAATGCAATTGGCTTGATCAGCAAACAATGAACATTTCACTAGTTGACCGCGTGACGATGCAGGGAAATCAAAGATGGTAACAAGGGGAAGCATGCAGAAAGGGGTGGGAGGGAGAAGACAAGAAATAAAATGCATAACAATGCTGTTTTGGGCCATGTTGTTGGGTAACTGTGGGTTTATCAAATATTGACAAACACGAAATGATTGTGATCAATCACTGTCGGAGGAGAACAGGTACCCTCCTCTCTTTTACAAATGATCCAATTAAAGGAAACATGTTGGCTATAAAAGTCAAAATCAACAATGCACTGTACACTGACAGCCCATCCAACATACAAAAATCAATAGTGCATTCTTCTTTCATCCAGCGCCAGGCAACAGTAGCAACTTTCCCACCTCTTTAGTCAAATATGACACAGCATCAATCGATCAAAACTTAGTACTTATTGAACACCGGCTTCTGAAGAATGCAAAACGTATTGTTCTTTGCCTATTTTATTTCAATAAAGTTTAACTTAAAGGCATAATGCTTGCCAGGTGCCCCGACTCATGCATCGGGATAAAACATCATTACGGCTTCAGCATGCGGCTACATCTAAATATACATGACTGCTGGCTCCACGAACAGCCTTTCACTCGCCATTCAGGTGCATTAGTAATAGCTAGAGCAGTGGGAATTGTTAGAGATGGCTTAGGGAGAAAAAAATGACTGTTTTTGTTGGGTTTGATATGTCTCCTCTGCCCACCCCTTAAAAGTATGTTTCCAGTGCTGTTGTTTATATCCCCCGTTCCATCCATCTATTCATCCAGGAAGCAGAGGCACATGTCCCTTGTAATGACATCAAGTTCTACCCATAGAGTGTCCACATCATTGGACTATAGCTTATTCTGCACACTAAGACTGTACCACTTCAGGCTGCAGGTGGGTGTACATTGTTCAAATTTAATTTTATTTATCCTGCTCTTCTGCCAAAAATTCTACCACTTCTTCTTCTTCTTCTTCTTCTTCTTCTTCTTCTTCTTCTTCTTCTTCTTCTTTTTCTTTGCCTCCTCCACCTCCTCCTCTTCCACCTCCTCAGGAGACAAAATATCAACCAGCTCTAATGGAAACAGTGCAGAGAGAAGAAATCCAAAAATGCTGGTGTCACAGCAGAACTGATAGACTTGCCCTGGGACAGATTGGGGAGCCTGGACACAGCCCTACTTTTCATAGCTCTTCACCACTATCTTCAGCTACTTGCCATACTTTTTGCTCTTATTTCACAGCCATTTTGTCTCTGGTTTAAGTGCTTCGAACCAATCAGGAACATATTCTTAGCGTGATGATGCTCCAAAGCTTATGCTACCAAAATAACTTGTGTTTTTATTGACAGCACTTGGGCAAATGAAACCAATCTACTGTAGTTCGAGGACAATGTTTCCACATAGGTTGAACTGGTAATCAGAGCCAACCAGGGATCCCAAAATGAATCCTTTCGCTATCCTTCCATAGTGATCCCTGAAACATTTTTTAGAAGACTGCTTTAGATTCAATTCTGATGAATATTTCACTGAATCTCACCTTTTGGCACAGCTCAGATGTGTTTCCTTCT